AGGTAAGCCTTGGCCCATCTCTTTGCAAGGCTTTCCTTCCAGCTGCCTTTCAAAGAGGGCTCCTGAAGATCTCCACCATCAGCTTCCAATATTATTTCAATTAAATGAAAATAAGTGGAAGGTTAGAAACTGAGGTGAAAGATTTCAGAGCATTGTGACACACAAGGTACTGCTTCAGTGATGTTCCTTTAGCATTAGGCCAGGTCTAATCCAGTCCAGATCTGCCAAAGATGAGCAGGAATTTAATACTCATTAACAAGAAATCACACAAAGAGGATTGAGCTGTTCATGCAAGTCAGGCATTTGACTACATTTGCACATTTGTAGGTATCCTGCAAAGCCAGTCCTGATGGGCCACATCTGCAGTGCAAGAGGGGACAGAAGTAGGTTTATGCCCTGAAAATCCACCTGGGGAAAAACACCCATCTCCTTTTGAGCAAAGTTTTGCACTGAAAGACCAGCAGCCTGTTGGCCAAGGGCTGAAGTGCCCTGTGTGCACTGTGTATCAACACCTTCACTTCAGAGCTAAAAGAGTTAATCAGTCCAGAGGCCAGAAAAAGTGGCAGCTTTGGCATTGTAATTACTAGAAACCTCATGAAATGCTTCCCAAAGCACCCAGTAAGTTATCAAACTACTCCCTTGCAGAGAGACATCCTACAGTGACTACAAAACACACCTTCAGACTGGCCCAGGGTCTTTTCTCACAATCCCTTTAATTCCCTTTCCATCTTCATGAGTTACCAATGAATGAAACTTTATTTTTCTCTTTTTAACCCGAAAGGGAGCTGCATTTTAAGCAGTAACACTCTCTACCTCTCCAAAGGAGGAGGCTTCTCTTCTCTCCTCAGCAGCAGAGGTGAATGGTGTTTCTTGCCAGTCACGGGTGTGTAGGGGAGGCTGTGTGCCCTCCATGAGGCACTGCTGGATTAAATACCTTTGGGGTGTAAATCAAAACTCCCTGCAAAGCTTCAGTCTGAAATTCTGTTCTCCAGTGTCACCAGGGCCAGCAGACAACGCGGGGGGAGATGGGGGATGAATCCAGCCACCTTCTCACTGCAGTAATTAACCTCAAGCAAGCACTGGCACGAAGCTCCTGCTCTTGCATGACTGCGAGCATTCCTCCCCACAGAGTTTATCATAAAGCACCAACTGTCCATAAACATCTCTGGGAAGGGCTGGCCTGGGTTCACCTTCATGCAAGGAAGATGTCGGGGCCTGGCAAAAAGCCAGCCATTCATGTTTCTTTAAACCTCCTGATTTTTGTCAGCTCTGACTCAAATGACCTTCTTGTAAAAAAAAAAAAAAAAAAAAAAACAAAAAAAAAACAAAAAAAAAACCAACAAAAAGAATCTTCCATCACACCCTTTCCTCCCCTCCACCCACTGTGGCACTTAATCACTGCAGGATCACAGGGGACAATTCCCAGGGTGGCAGTGAGTCATGGTCTCCTGTCCCTCTGCCCTCTGCACAGCCCCTCTGCAGCAGAGGCACTTCCCCATTTCCAGCTGGTCTGGAGCCTCCAGGCAGGAGAGGAAATAGCTTGGAGCTGAGCAGAAGTGGGGCAAGCTGAAGAGCCTCCATCACACCATGGACCTATTCCCTCCAAGCCAGGTAGGACAGCCAGGTTTGGGACTCTGACAAGTCCACATTGTCCAGCAACAGCAGTGTCCTCCCAACACAGCAAAGTCAATTCTTCCACCCTGCAAGACTGAGCTGTGCTTCATCCTTGGTGCCATGATGTATTTTACAACAAATCCAAGCAGCAGCCCAGCCATTCATCCTAAATATACTAAATCTTTAAGCACAAGATCATGATTAAAAGCAATATAAAAAAAAAACCACCCTCTTCATACTCCTCTCTTCAGCAAGAAGAAAAATCACTCATCCTCATGGAGGGAGGAACAGACACAGCACCAGCAGGAGCAGTTCGGATCCAACCTCCCCAGCAGATAATCGGACACAGCCTCTTCCCAAACCGTTGTGGGAGCCCTGATCCGCCTTGCTGATGAAGTCATTAAGATTAGGCCACTGCTGGCACTAAGATGACATGAGGCGAGTGTTTAATATCCTCACACCAGCTGGGTGGCCAGCCCAAGCCATTCTTTAACTTATTTGCTGGCTGTGAATATTCCTCCTTCTCTCCTTCCCATAGGATTTTAACATCCCTGTGAGGAGAGCAAGCTCCCAGCTAGGAAAAGCAAAGACCAACAGGCTGCTTAATTAACTGCCCCTCTCTCAGTTGCCACAACCTCGCCAAATGCTGGAGAAACCTGATTCCAACGGGTAATTAAGCACTTCTGGCTCGAGAGGGTCAAAGCCAGCAGGGGAGCACAGCAGCAAAGGAAGGGGCTGACACCATAAACCCTGTGCCAGCCCTTGCTGTGCCCCCATGCCATCAGCTCCAGCACTCCAGGCACTCATGACTCCCCAGAGGGATAAAGGCTTTTAGTGGCCATCAGTCCCTTAAATTAAATCTTAATTGGTCCAAGAGCTCCCTAGAGGGATACACGAAGCAAGGAGAGGCCTTGTTTGCCAGCCAAAATAAAGCCCTGCTCTCAGATGTGCCTTTGAGGGTGTTGTTACCTGTGCTGTTTCACAGGTATCCAAGGAATTTCTAAAGCCTGGCTGCCAGGTACGCTGGCCTGATCCTGTGCTCACCCTGCTGGGTCCCAAGAATTCCTCTTTCTCTCTTCCATCCTTTCAACCAGACTCAACTTCAAAAGGAGGAAATCAGAGATTCCGTAACATTTCATCTTGTTTCTATTGCCCGACCTACCAAAACAAAGGAGGGAAAAGCAAAGACCTGACTCTCACCAGGAGCATAAACAGGTTATTACAGCAATTACATGCAATAAGGGTACATATAAAGGGGAATCCACTAAAAATGGGCTGGAGCCTTTGGTTTGCCCAGCTGTTGAGACCAGCTGGGTACGATGTATTGCACTGGTGGCAGAGGGTCTGTGAGCCCAGAGAAAATCCACACCAGGTAAAGCATCTGTCTGCAGCACCATATACAAATTCTGGTACCAATCCTGCAGAAAGGATCATGCAATCCCACCTCCCTGGGTACCAAGGGCAAATAGACTCAGGAGAGGAGGGAGGTGTTCAGCTCCATTTTAACAGTACTGCAGCCCCTCCAGATTATTCCAGGCTCTGGCTCCCAGCACAGCAGCTCTTAAAGCCACAAACCCCCAGGTGAGCCAAATGCAGCAGCTTGCAGGAAACACAGCACAGCTGGCCTAAAGCCAGAAAGTTGCCACAGAGAACGACAAAGAGGAGGAGAAGCTCCCAGGGAAAGCTGGTCCTTGAAAATCCCTCTCCAGAAGACGTGAATGATCAGAAAGGCACATGGCAGGCTGGCCCTTGGACAGAGGGGGAGAGCAAAGCAATCCACTCAGCAGCACATCCCTGCCAGCTGGGATGTTTCTAAGAGACACAGCAGATGCCACCCACGCTGGTGAGGGCTCAGCACAGCGTGTGCAGCCCCGGGAGGCTTTGCCCACACAGCTATTGTGTGATGCCTGGTGTGCCCCAGGCATTAGCAGATATTTCACTGGTGCTGTGCACAGCACAGCTTTGGACAGCTGGCACTTGTGGGAGAGAACAAATTTGTGGAGGGTCTTTGAGAGACTCCAAATGAGTGCTATAGGGCAGAGACAATCCTGGGGACTACAGTCTGTGTTGGAGGCATCTAACAGAAGGGTGTCCTCATCAATACAGCCCAGGTATCCATGGCTGTAAATCTGGAGTCAGACACCTGACAAACCACAGTGACAAATGAGCCTTTACTCCACTAGAGGATGAAAAAGCCACCTGCAAGGCCAGTGCAAAGCTTCAGTGTCCAACAAGGCTCAAAATCCCTGCAAACAGTGCAACCTCCCACAGGGGCAGTGACTCAGCCCCTGAAAGGCTGCTGAGCAATCACAGCAGCCAGGTTTCCTATGCAAGAGGTGAGCTGCCCACAGTTCCACAACTGCCCCATCCCATGGACCTTCCAGTCAAGGAGAACTCAAATGTGGCTTGTAGCAGAGCTTGGGGAAGCACAGCAGAGGAGGTGAGAGCCCATCCCTACCTTTTCGTGGGGGCCCTTCAGTATGTGTCTGCTAAAGTCTTACAAACTATGGAGCAAATGCCACAAATGCTGAATCACAAGGGCTAAGGCTGCCAGGGAGCAGCTGGGACTGTTCAGCATTGCAGAAGGGGTGTCTCACACAACCCTGTCCTGGCCAAGGACTGAGGAGTTCCCCCATCCAACAGCCAGAGTAGTGGCTCCATACCAGAAAGCAGACCCACATCCCTCAGCTCTTCAGATCTCTGGCTTACAGTGCCTTCCTGCCTTTGCACTCCAGCCAGGGCATCTTTTCTGCTGCTTCCCTCTAAGCTGAGGAAAAACTGAGAGAACACTCCACTTCCAGAGGGACAGCTCTGTGGATGTATAGGAGCAGCCAAGGAGGCAGTGGGGGCTGGCAGCCCTGCTATTACAATGGTAATTCCCTTTGACTTGCCAGCATTAGAGACCAAACATCCATTGTCATCCTTTGTCTTTTATAGGAAGATCTTCAGCACGGACTCGCTGTTTTTAAAGTTTTAAATGCACCAGCTAAAAGTTTTAGAGAGCAACCTTGAATTTCTCAGGGCTATATTTTCCAGTTTTGGGGTGAAGCCTTGCTAACTGTCCCCCTTCAAGAGGCAGGTACCCTCTAAGGGGAAATGGCACCTACAAAATGTGGTGGGTTTCACAAGTGACTCAACTTTTAGGGAGAATCTAAATAGTAACAATAAATAACACACAATTTGTTATAACTGTATTAATATAGTTAATATTACAAACGGGCAAAAGGTTTTCCCTTCCATATTTTAACCAGAACCTCATGCCACGTTACTAAATGAGTGGGTTTTGTCCCACACTTCCACAGAGGTCTACTAAAGGATTTTAGAAGCACAGCAGCAGGTCCTCACCAGCACCACCTACAACATAACGAAGAAGGGAATTGGGTTACCTGTCCAAGGTCCAAAGTGACGTTGACCTGGTTGAACTCCAGCCCCCGGGAAAGAGGGGGGCTCTGCCACCAGCGCTCGGTCCCATCAATGGCATTTGTGATGGGGTGGGCCTTGTTGCTGTTTGCAGAGGAGCAGATGTCGCAGTACTGGCCCTGTTGGAAAGTACAAAACCAACACTTAAATCCCAGCCAGAAAAACGTGGTACAAAGCAAGACAGGTATGACAGCAATTCAGAAAATACAGGGTGTAAGCCTACTGATGCAAATCTATATATAAACTTTTTGTTTGCGCTGATTTGAAGCATGAATGGAAAAAGGAACACGAAAAGGCTCAAAAACCCCCTCAACCACCCAGTGTAGAATTTTGGCTGCTCTAAGCAGCATCCCTTCTATATTGCAGATATGCATGGAGTGCTGGCAAAGGAACCTGGACACAAAGAACTCGTTACCAGATGCAGAGGGAGAAGCCACACCACAGTAGAGAACAGTAGCTCAAGCTCTATGGGCACCAGCTCCTCTGCTGAGGCTGCCATTCACACCCCTGCTGATGCCCAGAGATCCTGACTCAGATCATTCAGTCATTTCTAGAGACTCAGACTGGCAGTTCCTCTGCCCAACTCCCTGCAATCTTTTTCTTGTCCACCTATTCATTTCACAGTATAGTCCTTTCAGCTACATTTTCAAGCTTAATAGTCTCACAGCAGAGTTCCTTTTGCTGATGATGCTGCAATGCAAGGCCAGAAAGGGACAGCCCCAGCTGTCAGCTGGCCAGGCACCTCACTGCCATCACTTCTCTGCCTTGCCTTTGTGGTGCGGGTGGTTGTGTCAGCTCCATGGACACGGTGCCAGAGAAAACAGCCCTGCAACTTTAACAGCACGACCAGACAAAAGACCTGAGCTGTTAGGGGCAATCCTTTCTTTCCCATTAAGGGACAAATGAATCTGACCCACTCTCAAAAAAACCTGCAAATAGCCCTGAAAATTGGCAAGTTATTTCTTTTGTGGAGCCACTGTTCTGTCGCTTGAATTGCTGCTACAACAGCCTAGAAGGGGACTCTGTTACGGGCAGTTTTCCTTTTAAAGGCGCAGTTATCCCCAGGCAGGAATGCTGCCCTTGCCTGTCCCAGCTGCAGCCAGCGTTAATATTACACCAGGTACAAGATCTCAAGACAGGCAATCCCCTTCCTGTTCACTGCATCTGCACCCCTACAAGGGCTGAGGCAAGACAGAGCCACCGCAGAGCGTGTGATTTTCCAGATGCTCCAAACTCTGGAGGAATCTCCGTGCAAAGGAAACAGATTTCACAGCATTCTTCCCCACAGCCATGCCCTATGTTATTTGCAGGCAATTATGCAACACAAATTGTCCTGAACAAGAACACATTTTCATTAAGCGTTCTGGAGATATGAAAACAGCAGACTGGGTAAGCACAAGGCCAAAGAAAAAGGAAGCTAAAACCACCCAGGTAACCCTGACACCCACTGTACAGAGCACCCGCTGTACAGAGAGGTCAGGACAAGGCTCGTTAGAACATGCTTTGAGCCAGGAGGGAGAGCAGACCAGATAAAACTGACCCAACTCTTCAGCTCAAACCTCTAATGGGAACCGGTGCAACAGGTTGTGTGGAAATTTCTGCTGCACAATGCACAACACTGGGAGGGGGGGGGCAGTGAGGCAAGGTTACAAAATGGGGATAAATAACAAAAATAAAGTGTTCTCATAGTTTAAATTCTTGCTACAGATGTAAAAACCATTTTGGACCCAAAGTTCACATCGACTGAAGACGGTCAACTCAAGTTAAATTAGAGGGGACTAAAAATTAGGATCAGCTGCTCCACATTTGTAATGCTGCTGTTGTCCCTCCCCACTGCTGTGCAGCCTGGGCTGGAAACACATCAACAGCTGAACCAAGTTCGCTGTTAAAAGCGTGATTAGCCTCTTTGATGCACCAGTTGCTCATTAGTTGTTTCATTAGAGCCAGACCTAAAGCTGGTGAGAATCATTTCCAGCTATTTGTATTTTAGAGAAACTCAGGCTCCCGCGCAGTGCGTCAGGTTCTCCACAGGGGAGTTCTGACATCAGCAGAGGACTTTAATTAAAAAAGCAATTGTGAGCAGCAGGCTTAGCAAAGACAGCAGGTTGCCAGAGCAGAAGAGGTGTGGACACCGCTAAGGTCCACCAAAGAAAAAACTTTGCAAAAAGAAAGCAATACAAGAAGTTGCAGGGCAGCTTAGAGAACATAAAACTGCCACTATCAGAGCAAACTGCAAAGAGAGAGATAAGGAAGAGGTTTGAATGGAGGGCAGCTTACAGAGACCTGCAAGGCCCAGTCCTGTTCCTACTCAAGTCAGTGGGAACTTTGAAGTTTCCCCTGAGCATGAAGACTAGCCAGGCACCCCACTGGCAACACTCGCCTTGGGGAAAATAGGTGGCTTTGTCCCAGTTTATCTGGCCCTGCCATGACCCAACATCAGCTCTCCTCACCTGATTTATCAGAAAACCACAGGGAGAATGGGGCAGCCTGGGCTGCTGGGGATGAGGTAAAAAGGGCAGGAAATGGGGGGTAAAAAGTACTGTTTCAGACAAGTAAAATGCACGCTCGCTGCTACCAGGGCTGTCCTTGCAGAGCAGCTGCTCAGGCAAAGTTAAGCAGTGCTGTCTCACCAGGTGTTTTTTTCTGTGAGCAACAGCACCTTGTTCTAAAAACTTTCATTTTCAGCCACAGTTAAACCCCTGAAGTCCAACTCTATCACACATGTAAATGCAAAAGAGACATGTATAGAGAGGTACAGCATCAATTGTCACCCGGAGCATGGAGAGCCCTGGGCTGAGCCGGATTCCCAGTGCCACACGGGACAGACATGGTCAGACGTGCACCAGGACAAATGGTCACTGACTACTGTAGGATATCAAAAGAGAATGTCACTAAATTCATAGACGCTCAGGGATGAAATAGCTTCAGATCTCATCTGTTAGTGACACCTGGAAGAGCGAGAGGACCAGACCTCTGGTCAATGCCCACATACAGCTCAGCACCACAATTCACTGTGCAAACCAGTGCTTGGAACACAGGGTGCGTGTGAAGACAGGCTTTAGAGGAAGGCAAAAGTTGCACTGACTTGAAAACAGTGAAGTTTGTTTTCTGTTCTAAAATTCTGAGGTCTAGAATTCCTTCAATTAATGCTAGTAACTTGTCTTACTGTTATACTCCTAATCTCCTTAAATAGTTGTCTACAACCCTGCCTCACTCCAAGCACAATATACAATCCCTGCTGGAACAGCCCCCTAGGCAGAAGGGTGGGATGGGGAACATGAGCACACTGCTATGCCTTTGCAGAGTTGTCTGTCTTGGAAGACAGCTACAAACATCTGCAGCAAAGCTCAATCAGAAAAAAAGAAACCTGTGACCTCCCTTTTGCCTCATCTTCAAGACATGATCATTAAGGCAGGATTGCCCATGCTGAAGAGTGAGTTGGACAAGGGAATCAAACCTCCATGGCAAGTCCCTTTCAGCACACCTCAGCACTGTTGTGCATCACATCCTTCCAGACTGAAAAGCCCCCCACGGTTGGAAATGCTCTCTTCTGCCAAAAACCCCTGAATAAAGCAAAGGAAACTCCTTGAAAAGGTTTACAGCCTTCCCATAAGCTGTGCCAAAACCACTGCAAGTGTCTTTAGAGCACCATTATTTCAGAAAGCTTAATGATTATTTGCATTTTAAGACTATCATGTCTTAAAGTCAGTGAACTCCATTTTCTGAAGTTTTCTACAACGTCAAATTAAAACAGTAGAAAACAGAGAACTAACTGAACTAATTTATTAGATGACTGTATTAATGTTTATTCTAAGTCTTTAATCAAGCAAATGTCCCTTCACCACCACAGCATGTGGAAGTGTCCTGGGAGGGTCCCGAGGCATTGTTCCAGAATTCCTGACCAAACCCCCTCATGCCATGGCCACACCACAAACGAGGAGCACTGAGCAGGTGAAGGGAGAAGGGAAGGGACTCTGGTCTGTTGCGACACATGGGCAGTGAGGACATGCATGTGGAGTTCATTATTGTTGTTTCAGTCTGCTCAAATTGAACACTTCCCTCCCACCTCCCTCCTTGCTTTAAGTCACCGGGTGGTGCCGAAAACCCTAAAGGGGATGAATTGGGAACTCTGACCTCTGCTCTGATGCCTCCTGTTTCCTCCCCTCCCTTTTAGGTGCTGCCTGTGGTCATGGAAAGGAGTCACTACAAAAGGATTTTTCTAAAGCTTTCAGACTGACTGAAGACCACTGGCCTGGGAAGTGGTGCTCAGATCAAAGCCACCCTGTGCCAGAGCTGCAGAGGGGATGGAAGGGGGTCGCTGCAGAAATCCACAGCTGGGGAGCTGTGTTTGGCAGCAGGGGAATGATGAGGCTGCCCCCAGAGCTGGTACAGCCTGAAGGGTTTCTTTTAGTCACCAGCATCCTCAGAGCTATGTGTCATGCTGAGCTAGCAGGGTGGCCAGAGCACAGATGGACACATGTGGAGTGATAAATGCATACCCACATTTGCCAGCTTTTCCAAGCACTCTTATTCCTCCTAGTTATACTTGGCAGACCATTCAACTTATTTGCAAGTGCACATAGTAGCAGTTAACTTCTTCACCTTTCCTTGCTCCTTTGCCTCACTGTAGGCACAATTACTACATCGAGGTCCCTGTAAGCCTCCTGCTACTGGGACTTGAAGCAAAGCTTCTTCAAGTTACATTATTCTACAGTGCAGCAAAGTGAAACAGATCACTTTAGAAGGTGGCAAAACTCAAGAGGAGGAGAAGTCAAGTTTTTGCCATTCAGTAACATCTTCAATAATTTATACTATGTAGAGAGCAGAATTCCATGTCATAACCACACAATAGCCAGAAAATTCCTAGTACAGCACTAACTCGGGAGAATGTGGCCAGAATGAGAAAAATGCTTCAGAGACAACTATGTAACAAAGCCACCCCAAACAAGAGGCCAAAAAAGGCTCAGACCAAGAAACTGACAGTTTTCCCTTGCTCATCCTTACTGTTACCTACAACACGGACAACCCCAGTGCTCCAGGGAACAGGTGAAGTGGCACCATAATCCTCACAAGCACCAGGCAGAAAACACTGGTGAGCAGCAGCT